CAGTTTCACACATATAAGTGGTGACAAAAGGCATAAAAAATTGCATCGCTTTTTCGCTTACGCTGGAGATCCGTTGCGCCGCAACGCAAAACCAAAAATAATTAATGGTACAGTTTCAACACTTTTTTAAGATCGGTTTGAGCATAAAATTCAATTAAATTATCAGCTTCTTATTCACAAGATTAAGCATTTCTTCCTTTTCCAATCTCGACAGAAGGAAAAAGGATCTTAATCCAAAATTATGTGAGGAATATCCGGAGAAAATAGTTTTTAAAACCTATTTATTAGCTCCTGAAAGATGTTCTAAATGAAAAAATGTAGTGTTTCAGATGTAATCTTCTTCATCGTAGTTTGAAGGGTTCAAATAAATTATGTATGTTTCAAAAGATGTAAAATTTATTTTGAAAGTTGTCGTTTCACAGAGGCAATTTTTAAATGATTGCAGCGAATTTTCGCTACTTTGGAAATATTTTTAACCCAAAAGCCTTGAAATTTAATTCAATTCATTGACCTCGCAAAATGTTGCACAAAATAAGCTACTTTTATCAACCACTCGAAATCGTTAGCATCTTCCATTAAATGGAAAACAAAAATTAGCATTCTTAAATGGTGGGTGTTCATTCAGAAATACCAAGGCTTCGTCTTTTAGCTCAAACAGACGTTTCAAAACGTTTTCTTTTGAAAGCCATCATGAATTACAATACAAAAAGAAGTGTTTATGCTCACTCCCCATTTTCTTGCATAATTCGATAAAAAGTCTGCTAGTTAATGGACGAGACTTTATGTAGTTTACAAACTTGAAACATTCTTTTAACTTCGCGTTTAAATTTCAAGGCATTCGTTTTACTGCCAACGCTTGTTTATGGATACTACAGCGCACCCATACACAATTAATTGCTAATTCCTGAATTTGTTTAAACAAACCTTTATGAAAGCCTGTCATTGCACGTGCTCCGTCGCTACTTAGCCCAACACACTTCATCCAATCAATACCGTGACAAAATCATTGGTAGCCTTAAAAATTTCATCTGAGGTCGTTCTTATCGGCAGCCTTTTACAAAACAAAAAATTTTCTTGTATGGTGTTTTCACCAATATATCTGATAAAACACATTAGATTTGCATTATCCTCGATATCTGTGCTTTTATCTATTTGCAAGACCTCACCCCCCCAAAAAAAACTTGCTCTATTTTACTTGAGCAACTAACGTATTTGACGGCATATAAGACGCAATTTTTTCCTAAATTTGGCTCTCAAAAAGTTACTGCCGCTATCGGAAGGATGGTTAACTTTCAATAGTGAAAATGCTATTTGTAGCCCGGATATAAAGGTTAGGAAACACATAAACGTTTTCTACCTCTGCCATATTATTTTGCGCATGCGTAAATATCGTGTCGCTACAAAAGCGCCAAAAGCTCGAAGTAGGTTGATGTCGAGAGTAGTTCGAACGGTCGATGGTCACATAAGTTTATGGAGCTTTCCTTCTTACATTAGACTTTTTTTGACTCAGCCGGCACATATGTCGGGTTTATCGGTGCTTAAAACTATTTTTTTTTAAAATACTGCACAATATGACACAGGAAACAAGAGTATTAAGCTATAACAATTCAGTCTAAACTAGGGTGTTAAACTACGCCAAACGTGCAGGAAAAACAGAGCAGCAGCAAGGCATTTCAGTAGAAAAATTATACGACTTGAGACTGAAGAAAGATCAAACTGAAAATGCTCTTAAAAAAACAAAAAAAAATAAACTCGATGCCCGAGTACATCTTGGCGAACTGGAAAAAAAAAAAAAAAAAAAAAATTTTTTGTGTGTTTTGTTTTTTGGGCCGGTGCATTCAATGATTGTTTATGTGGCTTTTATAAAACTTGACGAAACCTAAAAGAAACCAACATTTGAAGTTGTTGTGGTACAACGTTCTCGCGCGGAATATTCAAACTTGTTTCCTGGTGTGGCTTCTAAATCAGGGTGCGTCTAGTGCCGTTCAAAAATTCCGTAGGTTTCTTCTAAATGTTTCGCGCAACATCAATTCTTCCGTTTAATTGTATTACGTGATAATGGTATCGCCCGAAAATAAACATTTTTCATTTATTCCGCATAAATATTTGCAACAATTTTCAAGCGGGAAGTATTAATTTTCTCCAGCACTATGAGGATACCAGTTTCAGTATTATTTGGAAATTTCAAAAAGATGTAAAAGTGATGTTTTGATTTGACTGGTGAGGTAAGAGTGTATTTTGAATTTTAGCAGCAATTAATATTTTCTTATCAGTAAAAGAGTTAATTGGCTTACTCAGAATACTCAGAATGGAGTGTATTTAAAGGCCGTTTCAACTTTGGACGTTTCTACTTTTCATTTGAAAGTTGCTCAGTCAAATAAGACATAGCGGCAAATTATTTTGAATGCGCCGTCAATGAAACCCAAATCGTAACTATTCGTCACAATAGTGCGAGTCCAAAGTAGCGTTACGAGTGTTATTTTGGCGCTGTTGTATATTTGCTTTAGTTGACTTTCAAGGCACAGTTTCTTAACGATCATGATGTTTTGCTTGGTTTGGCTGGTTGATACTCATCATTAAATATGTTGTTCTGATTAACCATGTATCCCATTTTAAAAAAGGTTGAATGTGAAAGCTGTAATAAAAGGAATGGTTATTAATGATTTAAAAAGAAAAAAGTATTTTATTACTTACCACGAAGTTGCTATTAAAATAGGTGGTAATAATAACGATGTCAATAAAATAGGTACAAAAAATTTAAACATAACCTGTTTGATACACGATGAGCTTGCGGTCTTGCCATTTTCCGCGGAAGGCACTGAATGACGAATCGAAATCAGCCAATCAGAGCATCCGAATTTAAACCGTCTGGTAGGAAATAGTGGTAAAGGGTTGCCATCTGCAATACTTGAAAAAGTTTCGAAAAATATGAAATTTAGAGCAAAATGTTACAGATTTTTTTGTGTTTTTACAATTTTTGCCACGGACCAGCTGAATTTTTCTGCGACCCGGTGCCGAGTCGCAACCCACATTTTGGGAAAAGCTGCTCTAGAGTAAGGAGTATTAAAAATATATTTTTTGCCCTTTTAAATTTTAATACATATTTTGGACAAATTTAAAACTTAAATTAGCACTAATTAGTGTAGCATGCAGCTTCTAGTTATGTTAATGCATTAAAAATGGCTATGCCACCACATTAAATAGATACTTGGTCTTTCCTGATTACTGACATTGCCAATTATTAAGAAATAAGCAGAGAAGAAATGAAAATAGAAAATAACAGCCTGAAGATTTATAGCCTATATATATCTGTAAAGCTTTAAGATTGACTTTTTCCTCTAGCCACTGCCAATGGACATAATATGACTCAATTTCATCACTTTACAGAAGTGCCCCTATTATCTGCAGGAAATTTATACCAGACTGTGGATATGTGAAACTATGAGCAAGAGTGAAAATGATATAGAACAATAAATTCATGCCACCTACATAATTCAGTACAGTTTCAGCAATTTGGCATGGTAACAACATTATTAATAAATATGACAATAATATTAATAAATAAAGTACATTGTACACCAGTGATCCCCAAACTTTTTGTACCTTAGGGGAGCAGATTCTAGGATACCGACGGGCACATTTATTTTTAAAGGTAAATTTATAGGTTGATACACATAATATACCAAAAAATACTGATTTGCATTCTGATATAAGATTAATAATTACTAAATAATGCAAAAAAGTATGAATTCTTTGCTTTTACAACTGTTGATACAAAAGTTCTTTTGGGGAGAAAAAATGCAATTCTTAAAATCCGTATGATATCTGGTATTCCATGTCACTGCCAAATGCTTCATAATTAGGAGAGTATGGTGCTATTCCTGCTCGTAAGCAACCATCAAGATGTTCATTTGTGTCTAGATTTTTACTTTGATTCTGTGATATTCATTAATGAAAACAATGATTCACATAAGTATGTGGAACCAACGATTTGTCTTGTATGATACTATTTTCAAGAGTGGAAATTTGTTTCTGTTAATTATATTCAAGAATCTTTCATCTGACACTGTATTTTAGGACAATGTCTATTAAAAGATCCTAGATTTCTGGCTTCAATTCTTGCATTCTACAATATTGCTCTGGATTTGAGACAAAATAACAAATGCAATATCAGAGACTTGTTAGCAAAATTTACATAATGTAAAGTTCTTAATTTTTCCCTAACATGCTATCAATTTTAAAGAGTTACAGTATGCTCACTCAAACTGGAAAGTCAACAAAACTGAGAAAAATACTAAAAATATTACATATCTGTATGAAAGTAAAGGTTACAATTAGAAGATATTATGAATGTAAAAATAATACAGCTTTTATTATAGAAAGCTTGACTCATATCAGCTACTGTTTACTTTAATCAGCCACTTTACAGTTTTGACACATATGACCTTGATTACGTTAATGTAATAATACTATAAATTAAAAAAGGAAACAGTGATATAATATTCCAGCAAAATAATCACTGCAATATACCATGTTTTCCTGCACATTTTCTTTTTTCTTGAAAAATTTATTTTCTCCCCCTCTTTTGTTTTTGGTCTTAGAGGTACTATTATTTTTTTGCAAAACTTGGTATATAAAGCAACATCAGTGACAAACACAGTACAGCTTAAAGATCTAATAATTCAGCTTTATAATACAAAGCTTCCTTTCTAGGCCCATTTAATTCAATTTCTAAAATTAGATATTTAACAAAATTTTAAACCGATTAAGAAAATTTTTAAAATGCATTAAACAAATTTTTTAAGCAGTTACTAATTTTGAATAATTCAGAAACACCACCAAAGAAAGGAAGAATGACTATAAACATTAGGTACAGCTAAACAAACTCATTTTTTAGCTATAAAGTAATAACATAGGTAACACAGATTACCATACACACATTACGATGAAATGTTTTGAACAGCAGAAATAAATTTTTACAACTTTGAGCATAAAATTAAGTAAAACTGCATTTATTTAAAAAATTAAAATGTTTAACTGCTTCCATTTTTTTCAACTACCATATCTTTATATCCTAAAATTTGGAACATACTTTTTCACTTTCAGTATCAAGAGCTGATGTTGCTTCATCCAGTAAAAGTATTTGAGGGTTCCTGATTAATGCACGAGCAATAGCAACTCTTTGTTTTTGACCACCAGAAAGTTGAGTTCCTCTTTCACCCACAATGGTGTTGTAGCCCTAGATATTAAAATGAACCACAAATAAATTAAATCCATGATTACAAATAGCATAGAAATACTTTGCTTTAATAATAAGAGCAATTAAAATTTTAAAATTATGTATCTTATTTATACTTGCTTGAGGTAACTGCATTATAAAGTCATGAATATTAGCAGCCTGTGCAGCATTTTCAATATCTGTTTGGCTGACACTGTCTTCTATTGCATACATTATATTTTCTTTTATAGAACAATTGAATAAAACAGGTTCTTGGCTGACAATAGCTATTAGACTTCTTAAAAACTTGAGATTCAGACACTTAACATCAAACCCATCAATCATCTGAAATTTTAAAAACCGGATTATTGGAATGCATAAAATAACTTGTGATACACAAAATGATTCACTGTGTCCAGAAAGGCTTTAAATGACCTTTAGTTTCACAACACTGGTCATAGACATACACCTCCAGTTACAAAATGTTTCAAATGATGGAAATATTTCTATTTTTCGTCCAAAGGGGCTTTGTCCCTGAGAGGCTATTGTTTTCATTTTGCGTTTTTGCATCGAATCACTCTGAATGTCCGTTTCACTTTTCAAACTGTTGCCACCAAATATTATCGCACTGTATTATATTTGAATAAATTAAATAGAGAACCGCATAAATGTATGTATGTTTCTTTCTAGTGATGAAACTTAGGGTCCAGAGCCATAAATTTTGAATGACATAATCATCCTGAGAATATGGACATCTGGAAGCCCAAATGAAAATTGTGTTATTATCAAATTATTTGAAAAAATTAATGAATTTTGATTAACAATTCTCAATTTAAATGACTTGCAAGATTGCTCTGAACTGAATTTATGGCTTAACCTCGAAGAAAATGAGAGGGAATAAAGAAAGGGGTACAACAAAATGTTAAAAAAATGCCCCTTTGGACGTAATATAAAATCTGAAACCTTTCCGATTTTCTTTTTTTAAAAAATTTGTTTAATGATATACTTTAATTTAACACACCCAATTTTTTAAAATTAGGAAAGTTTTATACCCATTATTTAACAAAACTATTTTATTTTGAAGTCAGATTCAGGTGCCGTACACCAACTGAACAGCAAAGTGCACAACATTTATGCACAACTAAAAATAAAATACCTGTTTAAAAAAAGTTTCTGATGCTAATTAAGTTACATGCATTTCTACGTAGATTGTGATGAAAATTATTGATCGATATAATTTGTTTCAAAAAGGATAATTTATTCACAGAATCGTAACAGAATTTTCTTTCAGGAAAACAATGGCAGGCTTCAGTACTGGCATAGAGCCAACTTTTAACATTTCACAAAAATAAAAAATGTTTCAAGTTTAACAAATTTTTTGTATGACCATTAGATAGTGTTTCTACTGTAAGAAACTTCGTGGAAATATTAAATAATGCATTTGGAAACTCAAATTCTTAGTGTTAAAATACTTTTGGCATACCAATGGTAATCAAATAAATTCAAGAATGTTATATACTAGTAAACCGCAAAAGATTTTCATTGAATGTCACATAAGGGGAAAAGATGAGCCTTTAATCCTTCTAATTTATTTATTAACTGACAGAATAAAGTAGGTTGAAAACGATATTAAACATCCAAAATTTTTAAGCTAAAAATTTATGTCACTTTTCTTGTAGGAGAGTCAAACTCTCTTGTTCTTTATTTTTATGAGTACAAATATTTTTTAAATATAAGTGTAGAGTCCAAGCAAACATAAAAAATTAGATTTCATAAATTTTATAAAACTGATATTTTAAAACTTAAAAATGCCAAAACACGAGTATTCGCATTATTTAAAACATTTTAGTAGCTGCAAGTATACGTCTATGATGAATGGTTGCAGAATTAAAAGCTAAGTAAGGGCTTCTGTGGACAAGATGTATATTAAGCTCAAAATTTAACTGCACTTTAATCCAGGGCTGAATACATAAAACAATTTTCTTTATTGATATAAAAAGGAAAGAAAGATTTAAGCAGCGTGTGTGCTGCATACTGCAGAAACAGAAAGGCCATGGTGAATATGGGTCATAGATTATTTGAAAAGAAGGGGAGTAATTTCAAGCAAACCTCAATGCAATTTTCTAAAAATTAGAATAACTTTTTAAAATTCTCCTTTTGTTTCTCTTGCCCTAGGATTTTTCACACATAACTTTGTTTAATCATAGCAGAATTTAATCTTGCAGTGGATAGTTTGGCAGATTACCTTCCAAATGATATATATTTGGAATCCCTAATGTAATTTATTTAGGGCAGAATCTATTGCACCCCTAAAATCTTGGGAATTATTGCAGATTATAAAAACAACCTTTGCTTATTTTTTGAAAGAAAACCTTTAAAAGCGTTTTAAGTAGGTGACCTTCTACAATGTTTTAAAGCACATCACATTAGGATTTTATGAATTTTATGAATGTGTTGCATTCTTTTACTACACACAAGATTCCAGTCAGAAACAGCATGATATCACCTAATTCTTTGCTATGCTGAGTCGATTCTGATGTTCTTAGAGACTTTTCAAATTTGGCGACTACTGCATTTAGCTACTAAGCCAGTCATCATCTACATGAGCTATAAATGTTATCACAGCACAAGGAGATATTTTCAAACATTTGAAATCAGTTCTTAGGAGAACTAGTGAATTTCCAGCAGTGACACATGATGAGTCTGCAACTTTATTTTTTGAATTATCCATAATATATATTTCAATTATCATACATTCAGTTCATAATTTTTATATACATTTGTAGCATTTTAATAATTAATCAAATAAGTCTTTAATACTAGTAACTGGCTGAAAATTCTTTTCTTTTTCTTTTCCAGTAAAGAAAGTATAGTATTCTGGAATCTTTTTCCATCCAAAGAATGAGTACACTGTTAATGTAAGATAAGGGAACATTTTTTAAACTGGAAGCATTTTGAAATGCAATGAAATACAGACGGTCAAAAAAAAAAAAAAAACATCAAGAGACCAAGAAAATTTTAAAATTTTCTAAACCTTCTTAATGTTTGTGTGGGTAATCAAAAACCTCTCCGCCCTCACCATGCAGACATTTATGAAAGAGTATTTAGTATGCCAAAAACATGTTAGAGGAGAAAACGTTGCAAATCAAAATACTTTTATAGAAAATATAAACATAAAATTCAAAAAGAAAATTAACTCAGGATATGATTATGTGATAAGTTATAAATGCCCCCTTAACTATAATACTAACTTACCACTTGTCCCAAGTCTGGATCATAAAATCTCTGAATAAGAGAAAGCAATGTACTTTTACCACAGCCACTAGGTCCAACTAGCGCAAGAGTTTGGCCAGATTCAATGGCAAGGTCAATTCCTTGCAGAACAAGCACATTTTTGCGATTTGGGTAACGGAATTGAACATCAGAAAAGTTTATACTTCCTTTAATTTCCTGTGAATAATGAATAAAAAAAATAGGTGGATGAACTTTTATTTTTTAAATTAAAGTAATACATGCAAAAAATATTAAAACATTTAAATATGACAAATTTGAAAAATCCAATCATGCAAAACACTTGTCTCAATAAACAATATATTTTCCACATTCAGAATAATAGCTAGGAAATGAGAACATTTTCTCAAAATTATGGTTTAACATTAAAAAAATGCTGGCAAAAATTCAAATCTATTTTAAAACTTTAAAACGTATTAAGAAAACTGATGCACTAAGTGTATCAAAGAAATTAGATAAAAACTAGCTGTGCAAAATTTGTGGTTTAAATTTTGGTTTGCGATTATCATGGTTGGTATAAACTGTTATGACTTCCACCCTTTTAATAATAGCATAATTATTAAGGGTCATATGATCTGATAATCTAAGAGTAAGTTTTTTTGTACATGCCACATTAATTCTACAGATGTTACCTAAGACAGAAAACAAAAATAACACAGAAATGAAGTTTACCATAAGAAAAGAATTTGGAATGAGGATTTAGGTATGAAGCTTTCACTCATAAAGTAGCAATACTTATCCATATTAACCCCTTCACGACGGGTGTATCATATATGCATCGGTACTTAATGCTCATACGTGATGGCACGCCGCTTAGCGCAACTCGCCTTGGAGACAGCGTGTTGTTGCAGTAGTACGATCTCGGAAGTATTTTGCATAGCTTCAAAAAAATTCATTAAAACTATTTTTATTAATTGTTTTGATTTTTTCTGTAATGGTAGATAACAGTAATATAATCATAAATGCAGAATATCAAGAGATTCTGAAAAAAATTTAATTAAAATCTAAATGCAAAATAAAATATTTGACTCATATTGATGAAATGTTGGAAACAAAAAAACCCTTACTTAAATATATACCTAAACATATGTAAAAATAATAAAATATATGATTAAATAATTATAGCATAAATGACTCAGAAAGGAGACAGAGTGTGATAATCTAGTCGCGATCATTTCATTAGTTATGAAATATTTTTTCAAGTCGAACTTTTTAATTATTCCCAGCAGAATAATTAATCTTAGGCATTCCCTCATTTTTGGCACATCTACGGGAGTATGTTGATTTTGGATGACGTTAGATTTTCACTCATCTTTTGTTCATAGAAACTATTAGTTCCTTCAACTGTTATGTTCATTAGATTATCGAAAAGAAAATGGTGAAATGGTGAAAAAATCAGTTCCATTCACATAACTTTGTGTTAAGTTTACTTCTGGAATTCCCGTAAATTCATAAGGCTTCAATTACTTAACAGATGGAGTTCATAATAAAGTAGTAGCCACCTGGATTGTGAGGTGAAAACAAAACAAACTTTCAGTTCAGTATATGGCAAAATTTTGGTATAAAAACTGCTATTCTAACTGAAATCTAGAGTCTAACAAAACAGTCACTCATGGGCTTTGCAATTTGAATATACTCTTCTTCCGCTAAAAACATCTTTCTCTTAGACATCACACTTATGTCTGCTGTCTAAAGAAGATGCAAACTGAATCTACACCGAAGAGCCATTACGTTATGACTACCTTCCATCAATAACTATGGGCTCGCCCAGGAAGAAAAACACTATGCGTGCATGGCTGATGTTGGTGTATATAAAGCAGCTATGCATTTTCTTTCCAAATATAGTGCAATTAGCAACATAATTGGAAAAGCAGCTGATTTATTAGACTTCAAATAAAGATCAAACTGGTATGGCTCAGCGACTGGAAACATTAACATCAGAAATGGCATGTTTAGTGGGCTATTTAGTTGTTGTGAGCACATATCGAAAGTGGTGTATGGATAGCGTAATGACAAGTCGCTAGTCAGCAGTGTGTCATTGACGGCACACTGATTCCAGAGAAGCGCAGAAATCGCTTCTAATCTGCATCGAGGTTGTTCACCGTGACCGAAGAGCTACAACAGCCGAAATCATCATCAGCTACAACAGTGGCAATCCAGACAGTGTTTCTCAACACATTGTGTAGCGTACATTGCTGCGTATGAGCCTATGCAGCCAGAAGTCAAAACATGTCCCTGCACTGACAGCACGTCATCCCCAGCTGCATCTGCAATGAGCCAAGAAACATCAGAATCGGACACTAGAAGAATGAAAGAAAGTTTTATGGTCCAACGAATCATGTTTTCTGGTCCATGACATCGACGGACGCGTGCTAAAACGCTGATTTCTAAACGAAACCATGGGTCCCAGATGCACAGGTGGATGGAGACAAGCCAGTGACGGGGGTATTATGGTGTGGACAATGTTTTTATGGAGCACATTAGAACCGATAATCCCCCCAAAATGATCTCTGACATCTGTGCACTATGTGAACATCGTTACAGATCAGGTTCACCCATTCATGACAACAGTATTTCCAGTGGAGAATGGTGTTTGGAAACAAGATAATGCACTATGACATAAGGGTCGAATCATCAGGGAGTGGTTCAAGGAATATTCCTGTGACATTCAAGTCATGTCTTGGCCTCCAAATTCACTTGACATTAATCTAATACAGCATCTGTGGTCCCAGCCGGAAAAACAAATTCGTGCTGCTACGCTACTCCCTAGCAATGTGCAGGAACTGCAGGACCAACTGGTGAGCGCATGGTGTACCAGATACCTCAGAATACATATCAACACCTTGTGGAGTCAATGATAGGCTCAGTGCTGGCAGTTTTGAGGGCTAAAGGTGGACCTACATGTTATTAACAGAGTGATCACAATGTAATGGCCCTTCGGTGTAAACCTGAGTTCCTAAAACCATGGCTTCACTCTGAATCTTCTCGGAAGGATTTAAAAAAAATTGGTGCATCAGAAAAACTGTTGAATGTTTATGTCATGCGAAGCCTCAACTGTGCATTAGCTAGGTTTTGTTTACTTTATATCATCTGCTCTCACATCTAAACCAGAGTTTCTTAAACTGTGGGTCATGACCCCGCTTGGAGTCGCCAAAAATTTTAGCAATTTTGATATTTCCTTAACTTATTACAGTCAAATACTGAAAATCCGCCGACCTGAAATTCGCCAACTCTTGAAATCCACGTTGCCTCTCAAAATATAAACATTCAGTTTATAGGTTCCGGAAACCGCAACATTGAGTACGAAATATAGAAGAAAGAATACTTAGCGAATAATTATGTCATAATTACCGAATAATAATGAGCCATAACGGAAATACAAATTATTGACATCAAGATAAAAGTTTTTTCCTTTCTAATCTGCATCGAGGTAAAAAAGCAGACGATTGACCCAACTCTTCCTTCAAGTTCACGATTGTTGTATTTTCTGAACTTTGTTATTTCACGATTATTTAGTGCAGCCATTTTTTAATCTGGATATTTTGTATAAATTATATTTTTAATTTCAGGACTTTTAATACAATTACAGATAAAAACGCACTCATGATTTTGGCTACATGTACTTTGAAAACGTAAACCGTTGCATTGACGGTATGCAAATTGCAAATCTGCAAAAGATGGAGGCAGTTGCTACTCCTCGGTTTATCAGAATCGTACGGAATTCGACACGATTGTGTATGATGCACAGAAAAATAAAGAAAAGCTGTTGAAATTTTACAGCAACAGTGATTCTAACATCGGATCCGAAACAAGGAATCAAGGTGCACAAGGCTAATAGGCAACCTCGATGCTGTGTACATTAACAATGAATAATATAGTCATTTTATATGTAATAAAATTTACTGCATATAATTGTTATTGCAATAATGTATATAATAATTAATTAATGTATCTAATACCTTATTTTTTCACTTTTAGTTTAATATTATGATATATCTTTTCTGTCCTGAAATCCGCAAAATCCTAAAATCCGCACAACCTCTGGTCCCAGGCTTTGCGGATTTCTGGACTTCTACTGTATAATAATTTTGCAGCTACCAAATACTTTTACATAATGTATCTGAAAATAGATAAAGATAAGACAACACAGACAAATTAAAAAAAAAAAGTTCCAACGCATATTTTTTTCATAATAGAAACATTCATTTTGCTTTAAAAATTAAAAGTAATGGCCTAAAACTGCAATAGTATATTACAGTACAAGTGAAGAAACTGACTGATTCACTCAAGCGTGTGTTGGATTTATGCAACGCTTATGAGGATCCCACAAAAGTTTCATAAATATTATGAAGTCGCCACACCAAAAAGTTTAAGAAATCCTGATCTAAACGAATCATCAGAATAAGAAAGTACTTGATGGACACAAGGTCAACAATGCCATATGTTCAAGTAAGCTAGCTGTAGTGGACACAGAGTGCCATCTAGCGATTTTAAAAAATTCCAAAAAACATGTATGTTTGAAAGTGCATATATGACACACCTGCCTGGAAGATCAATGCAAGCAATGATGACCAGTGCGTTACCAGGCTGATATTGACATTTGGGACTGATGCATGTATGACACACCCATCTGCAGAGGGTTTTCATTTCAACAACATGGCGTCATGAAAGGGTTAATGAGTTACAAATGCAGTATACACTCCTTAATGTGATCTTGTATATACATGGTTGTTTTGATAAAATTAAATGGTCAGAAAAAATGGCCTTCAAAATATCATTGGAATGACATGTTCAGCAAATGTAGCACATCAAGGGTAGTTTTGCTTGCTAATTCACTTGCCGTTATGTCCATACAAGTATTATCATGTTATAAAGGTGTCTGACATGGTGATATTCTTTATCGCTCTAATAATCCACTAATCACATGGTTAATGATTGTGGTACTTGCTGGTAACAGTACAATTCCAATATTCTTGACAGAGACATTTAAACTACGTACTGTGCAATTGCCAGTAAGAAGTATTTTGTTCTTCAGCATGCCTTAATTAAATTAATTAAAAATTATTGACATAATCCACTTCTCTGAATTATACCCTATATTTCTGTTAATCATTTCTTTATTTCTTAAAAGCATTAAAGATTTTTTTTCCACTCCAGTT